AGCATCTCGGCGGGCTAGTAATTGCAAGCGGTTTTTCACTTGGAATCTTCCGCAAGGTATGCAGTACCTTATTCCGAATATATATTAACGAATATTAACAGTAATTATAGGTTAATGCTATGGAGATGGTATTTTGTATGAATATAGTAGGAATCAAGATTGGTTAACAATGTAATTACTTTTGGATCTTCAAGTTTTATGAAATAATTTTTTTTTTTATACTAAATAGAAGATTTGGACCTGAATTTATTGTTCAGAATGCATTATGGTTGTTTTTCTAGTTAAAATCGTTGTAGAGCTATTGAAAACTTAAATTATAAAAAATAAAAAATAAATAAAAAACCTAAAATGTAAAATCACGACGTCATTTTTACAATTAATAAATGACGGTTTTTGGAACAAAGCGTCATCTTTAGATTTAATAGACGTCGGTTTTTAAACAAACCGATGTCTTTGGATATAATAGACGACGGTTTTTTAATAAAAACCGTCGTCTATTCTATGTCAATAGACGACGCTTTTACTCAAAACCGTCGTCTATTTACATAGAATAGACGACGGTTTTTATTAAAGAACCGTCGTCTTTACATATAATAGACGACGGTTTTGAGTAAAAGCGTCGTCTTTACATATAATAGACGACGGGGATTTACCGTCGTGGTTTTATACATCAAAAGATGTCGGTCGATTTCACGACGGTTGAAAAACCAAATACACGACGGTGGATTACCGTCGTCTATTTCAATTTTTGTAGTAGTGACCCCTATGAAGCTGCAGGCTTGGAAGAAACCTTACGCAGATTTCAAGAACCCAGGTGAGATAACTTTATACCCAAAACAAGTTCTTTGCATGCATTGGTGGTTGTGTGCTAATTGCAACCATTTTAACATATTTCACTGTGCTATTTATTTGAAGACTTGGTGCAATTCTCCTCATTGTTTCCACTACTCCCACTATTCTTCTATCCTCTTTCTCTTTTACTGCTTACATTCTCTTTGCTTCAATATGAGTGCTCAACTCAATGCTAGCTCTTCACGTGCTAAATCATACAGTCTGATTCCTATGTCTAAACCCCATCTAGGAAGAACGTCTTCTATGGAACCCGCTGTGATCCATAAGGGCAGGTTTATCTTTCAGGTGGAAAGAAATGAAACCAGAGTATCCACTACTACTCTGGCTTCAAGTGTCCAAAGTCACTACGAGACCTTTTGTTTGGTAGGGAAGGTCTTTGGGGTTCTTGTGAGTAGCAGAGTCATTAAGCATAGGCTCAAAAGTGAGTGGAAAAATTTGCAAGGAGATGTGTCCATCGATCATACTAGTCGAGATTGGTACAAGGTGGTGTTTTTCTTTGAAGAAGATGTTCTGTCTGTGCTAGAGAATAAACCATATTTTGTTCCAGGTTAGATTTTTCCTCTTCAGCTCTACACCCAAGACTTTTCCCCTTTCTATGCTATGATGACTTCCATAGTTAGTTGGGCCAGAATTCCTTTTTTTCCCCTACACTATAAAGATCCAAATGTGTTGCATGATTTAGTTTCTATTCTTGGAGACCCCATAACTATTGATCTGTAGTCAACAAAAGGTAAGTAGAGTATGTTCGTGAGAGCTCGACTGTAGCTAGACCTAACTAGGCCTCTGAAAAGGTGCTTAGTCTTGGGGGAGAGCCCACGAGAAACTAGAATTTTTGTGAGCTATGAAGCTCTCTTTGCTATTTGTTTCTGTTGCATCTAGAAGATCGAGCATGGACATGTGTGTTTTGTGAGAGTTTTAAACAAGAATTTCTTACAACTGGAGAGGTTAGAGAATGAGCCTAATGCTTTTCCTAGGGATTTAGTCCTGGATGTGGAGGAGCAGAGACATCTGTTTGAAGATGTCATATTGGTTTTCCCACAACCTATTATTGTGGACTTTATTTATGCTGATGAGAATTCTGATAAGGGGGGAGAAGATACACACAGAGATGCAGGCCCCTGGTTGGACTGTGGTAGCTAACCGAAAGGGCACGACCAAAATGCAAGAGAGAGATGAGAGAACCTTCGAAGAAGTGGCTAAGGGAATTAAGATTGTTGGAGGGGGAAGAGCTCCTGATACTGGGGTTAAGTTCAAGGATGTGGGTGAAAATAGCAGGGGTAAAGGTAAAGATGTTGTGACTATTCCTACTCAGTCTAAAAAAGTTAGCAGTGCTTTTAATGCTTTTGCTTACAAAACCCTAAGAAGAGAGCCCGAGAGGTGGAGGAAGTGGCAGAAGAATTTGATCCTAATGTTGAAATTGTTGGAGAAATTCTGTCAGTGATCTCCCTAATCCCAATCCATGAATATGTTATCTTGGAATAGGTGAGGCAGTGCCTAGCCTGGTTTTATCTTTCAACCCCTTTTTTCTATTGGTACTTTAAGTTTACATGTCTTTTGGATTCCAGAGCCTCTAGGGTTCGAGCTGAGGTTATAGCTCAAAGGCTTGGTTTTAATGGTTTCTTTTGCATCCTTGCCATATGTCAATGTGGAGGGATTATCTTATTGTGGAATCCTTCTTTAATTAATATAACTCTTTTATAGTATTATGAGCGCTTCATTTACTGCCATGTGAAGGATCTTATTGAACATAAGATTTAGATATCCGCAAAAAAGACAAACAAAACAACTATGGACTAAAATTATTGACCTAAAACCTAGGATTTCAGAAGCTTGGATGTTTGTGGGGGATTTCAATAATATTTGCACCTCAAACGTGAGAAGGGCTCTAGAGGAGCCATGGCTGTTAAGTTAGACTTAGAAAAAGCTTATGATGTTCTTGATTGGTCTTATATTAAAACTTGTCTCATCCAAATTGGCCTTAGTATTGAGTGGTGTTATAGAATTATGAATTGTTCTTTTTCTGTTTTAGTCAATGGTTCCCCTCATGGCCACTTCAACCCTTCTAAGGGCATAAGACAAGGGGACCTATTTCCCCTTATATTTTTATCTTCTATATGGAGCCTTTCATTAGACACTGCAATTTTTTAGCTTCTTCTACCAAGTCTAATGTGGGTTTACTTTCCTCTCCGGGGGTTTTTCGCATCTTTAATTTAGTCATTGCTGTTGATTGCTTAATGTTTGCAAGAGCTTCTCCTGTGGCTGTTAGAAATATTAATAAGGTGTTACTTTCCTTCTCTGAAGTGTCTGGTCAAAAGGTCATTTTACATAAATCTGCTATGTACTTTTCTAACAATGTTGCAGCTAACTTAAGAACTAATCTTAGTAATATTTTGCAAATTCAACATAAAACTACCATTGGTCGTTATCTTGGTATCAGTAATATTGTCTTTTGAAAAGACCCCCTCAATGCCAAGAACATGATTGAAAGAATTAAGGGTAAGTTTGTTGGTTTGAAGGCTCAAACTTTATCTAGAGCTCGAAGGCTCACTTTGGTAAAGGCAAGTGTTTCTGGAATCCTTAATCATACTCTGTCCTATTTTAAGTGTCCTAAAGAAGTTAGTAAAGAAATGAATTCTACCTGTAGGAAATTCTTCTAGGGAAACCAAACGAAAATTTCTTCTATTTCTTAGAATGATATTTGCACTCCTAAAGAAATGGGAGGTCTTGGGGTGAGGTTGGCTTCCCACTTTAATGAGGCTGCTTTAGCTAAACTTAGTTGGATTTGTCTCCCCAATG